ACTTTGTTTTATTTTACTTCACTTTCCCATGATTTTAACTTTTTTAAGTACATATTTATATTGCAATATATATATATATATATATATATATATATATATATATATATATACTAAATATCACTGAATTATTATTTTATTAACAAGAAATATTAAAATGATATGATTAATATAAAACTATGCTAATTATTAAAAAAAATAGTTTAATTAATAGAAATTAAAGATTATATATTAAAATATCCTTAGTGATAAAAGTAATATAAAATGATAATTATTAATAATATATATAATGATAAAAATTCTTATAGGAAGAAAAAAATAAAAATTATTTTTTAAATGAAAAAATATGTATTTAAGTAAAGTGAAGTAATTATGTTTAAAATATAATATATTTTTAAAATAATTTAGTAGCAAGTGTTAAATTTTTTTGCTGGTTTAAACCATGCCTAATCAATTTGATTCTCATAGCTATAAGAAAAAAAACATATAGAAACCCAATTGATTGCTATGACTAAGAAAATGATAAAAAATAATATTGAAAAATTTTCGGAAGAGCTAGTTTGGGACATTACTTCCATCATCTAACTAATTACTTTACTTCCATCATCTAACTAATTACTTGGAAGAAAAACAAACATGAAAAAAAAAAAAAGAAAGGTTAAATTAGTTTGTAGATCATCTTCAAGACAATCTAATTCAAATTTTAAATTTTCTAAATTCCTTGCTTTCAAAACCAAAACCTCGTTTGGAGAGAGCAACTATAAAATGACGCATATTTCAACCATTCTAACCAATTTGATAAAAAAATATTAGGTAGGAAGTGAAAAGAAACTTAATACTTATTATATACAATAAAACAAATAAATAGAAAGCTTCATTTTCACAAAATGAGAAATTAGATGCCCATGATCCAATTGGGGTTATTATAAATTACTATAACAACTTACACTTCTATTTGAAAGTTGATTCATCATAAAATAATCACACCTACACCAACACAATAAGTGAATATGCCCTCTACAACCAAGCTCCACCATAACCAACTTGTCAATCTCTCCTACATATCTCCAACACAGATGCATAACCTTTACAACTACTTCCACTTACACCACACTTCCTCTTCCTAAAACCTATAACATACAACATGTATTAGAAGAATGTATACTACCATTAAAATCTTAGTCTCTCCTGCTTCTTCCCACAAGGCCTGTGTATTGGGAATCCAAGTGTGAGTCCAAGTCTCACATTGGATAGAAATGAGAAAGTAGAGCGCTATATAGAGGTGAAAGACATCATTACCTTAAAGTTTTTGGATAGAGAGTGTGTCATCTCTTATATGGTTGGGCTTAGGATTCATTGGTATTGTGTCTCCCTAGTGAACCTCTTCCTCGATAAACCCAACATTGTGGAAGGATAACTTCTTGTTGGAATAAGATACTTGGTTGCATCTTCTTCTTCAAGATCTTTCATGCCATGGATGAACAACATTGAGTTAATATTATAATTTATGTATAACTTTCATGTGCAATGCATTTGAGAAGCGCCACATAATTTTCATATTATATATTTCATGATGAGTCTATGTCATTTGATTCTTTCAGCATTAGTGATAATGAAAAATTCTAAACTCATAAAGTCTAACACATTTAAAAGGATTGTAAGTGTGTGTGTGTTATATTACATAATTAAATGTGTTAGGATCATTATTTTATTGACTAGATTAAAGTGATATGATTAATACAAAAATTATGGTTAAGGGCATATATGTCATGAAAGACTAATTGTGTAGATATCATAAGCAATATTTTTAATTTGATGAAGGAACAAATTAGAAATATTACAAATGTAACTTATAGAAGTAACGTAAAAAGGTTATGGTAACCATTTTTAGAAACAAAACAAATTATTCCCAATCTTTTTCTTTTCATTCTCATCTAACTAGAAATTCAAGAAAGAATCCAAAGTGGTTTACATTTGGAAGATCACATAATCATTGTGAATCTCATCACCTTCATTATTTCTAATGACAAATTTAGATATGTTTTTGTATTTTATTTTCATTTTGAATTGGAAAATGATTCATAAATATTAATATTTGATTATGCTGTAATTTTTGTTGTATATGGGAAGCATATTCTAACATATTACTAACCCAAAAATAAAAAATTGTTCAAGTAGTTCTAAATGGAATGAATTATGGCAACCAAGAAAGAAAAGAAAGAAAGAAGTTGGTCTGATTAGACATATATGTTGAAACTGATATCGCGCAACGGAAAGATTTTAGAGTGTGTTATGGTCAATAATCATGAGGAGAGGGGTGAATTGGTTCTTTTAAAAATTGTGATTTTCTTTTTGAACTTTTATCAAACAGTTGGTAAACTAAAAGTGTAGAGATAGAGAAAATCACACAAAATATTTTATCCTGGTTTGAATCAAAAGATTCTACATCTAGTCATTAATCACTATAAACAGTGATTAACCTTTTTCACTAAATATTTTTTCATATTACAATCGGATCATATAAAGATTAAAAACAGAGAACGCCTTCCTTCGACAAACGATGGAAGAACTTCAACTCAATCAACTTGAAGAGAACCACTTCGACCTTAGACACACTAAGCGCAAGTTTCTCCTATTTACAAGACTTGATTTGAGCACACTAACACTTGAGAACTTCCTCAGAACTTTTTCTGTATTCTCAAATGGCTTAGTTTCCTTTTCACACACATAGAGAGTTTCCCTTAGGCACAACTCTAATACTCTCAAGTGAAAAGTTAAGTTTTAAGAGTTATGGAGAACTCTATTTATAACCCAAGATTCGTACAGTGTCAAAAATTGAAAAGACATCTCCTAACTTAGTGATAATCGATTATCATAAGTGATAATCGATTATTTGCGGCCATTATGGGGTTTTCGAAAAAGTGATAATCGATTATCCTGAGTAATAATCGATTATTTGTGCACCCTAGACAATATTAAACCAAGCAGTGATAATCGATTATTTGCGCGAGCAACTCTTTTCTAATTTGGCTTGTAATAATCGATTATGCTAGTGATAATCGATTATCGTCTCAACATAGCTATACTAAAAAGTAATTTACAAGTCTTCTTATGATGTACACAAAGCAAAAGCCTAATACAAGGCTTTCTACAAAAATGCTTTAACTATGTAAGTAAATAATATTTCAAGACTTCAAGTGCATCATCATCAAAATATCTTCAAAGTATCAATGCTTCTCATTAGTAACAATTTGAAGAAAACTCTACAAATCTTCGATGGACAAATATTTTTATTAAAATTCCACATTAATTAAAGATAAAATTAATATTATGTTTAGTTTAATTTTATTATTCTTTCGAAAATAAGAACAAAGATTAATCTTGTTGGTAATTAATCTTGTTGGTAATTAAGGAGAGTAGAGATGTTCCATATTATTTGTTATTTGTAAGGTTAAGGTGGCGTAATACACTTGTGAGAGGAAGAAAAACTCTCTCACATTACATTACAAAGTGTTGAAAATAGATTTTAGTAATTTTGCATGGAGATTTGACATTGAAAATATGTTTAGGTTAGGTATGCTAGTATCTATCGTGGTTTTTCTTTTTCACACGCCCATAATATAAAAAATAGTTTTGAATTGATTGAGATATTATGACACTGTCATGTTGATATTTTTTATATACCATGGTGGAGTGATAGAGATTTTATGGGGATAAAAAAAAGAATAATCCTGTGTTTGGATTGATGAGTATGAAACAAGAGAGTAAAGTTCAGCCCACGATACATAGCCCATAATTCAGCTTGGATCATGGAACAAACTTCTACTTTTTCCACCACCATAAATTTATTGTCATCTCTCATTCAGATTTTTCAAACGATAAAAACTTACATTATGAAAAGCGCATCAGAATATCTGGCGGTACTTAAACACTTTTTCTGGATTCTTCATTGAGACTTAAGATTTAACAACAAAATTTAAGTTTTATTCCAGAGCTAAAAAGCTAATACAAGTTCTTATCTTATTTTAAATAGACCCCACAATTTATCTATATTTACCACCTTTTTTATGATGTGAGTCATCCTTTTCCTTTTCCTTTTCCCATTTCTTATTTCCACCTTTCATCTACCTACTATTTCCTTTTTGTTTGAATCATTCCTCATTTTATTCCAATAGTGAAACCTAACAAGAACTGGTTCTTAACTTTAAGAACTGTGCAAGATCCTGTTGTTGGAGAAAGAAGATGTCTATTAATTTATTGGGAAAAATATCCCATCAAAATCAACAAGAACAAACTTAACTCAAACATACCAAACTAGATAAATAAATAATAAAAAGTTACATCTTATCAAATATCCACTTTACAACTTTATTTTAATGATATATATTTTTTATCAGCATTTTAATGATATAGCAATGTATATCAATACTTTAATTTAAAAATTTAAATGCATATTGTTACAATATTTGTATAATTAATTGCCAAATCATTATGTCTTTATAATAGGTTCTAAAAGTATCCATACCCTAAATAATATATTTTATTGGTTTTTATAGTAAATAAGTATATGCCTATATTTATGTCATATAATTTACTTGGTTTTAATAAAATACACATTTCACTTTCACTCATATGTCTCTTACATTTTTCTCTATCGTCTTCAAATAATATTGTATTAATTCAGAAGAAAATATAATTGATAAACTACAGTAGAATTTAACTGTTGTTAGAAGATTAAAAGATCTTTTTATAATCTTTACTTTAGGGTGATGTATACAGAGATTCATACAGTGTTTCAAACCAATTAATTGAATAAAATATTTCTTATTTAAATTAATCTTTTTCAAGTTATTTATTCTCGATCTTGTCACTTTTTTTAATTGTTTTTATGTATATCTCTCTTCTTTTCGCCTAAAGCACCTGTTTAATAAGAAGAATTTGAAAGGAAAACTTAATGGGTCACCTTTGGTGTGCAAAATGGAACTTGAATTAAATCCAGAGACTGAACAACAATGAGCCAAATTTTTCATAACTTTGTGAAACATGAAGGAAGCTGTTAAGGTGGCAACATGAATAATAAAAAAAAAAAAACATGAGTAGTATTTTACAATGAAACATGCTTATTAATTGAGGACAGAACAAAATACGAGAACACCCCATTCTCTTGAAATTTTATTACTCTCCCTCTGAAACAAAGTTGAAGGAAAAGACAAAAAGATTGATCATGGTGTTTGCACATTAGATTCAGACTCAGAAGATGGCCGGTTCTTCAACTCCGGATGCTTTATTTCCTCAATCATTCTAGCAACTTCATCCATTCTAGGCCTATTTTCTGAGCCCTTAGCTACACATGCCAATGCAATCTGAAGCATCTGCACCATTTCCTCTTCAACGTACTGCCCTCTCAGAAGCTCCTCATCAAACACTTCTGCAGTCCATTCCTCCCTAACCACAGACCTCACCCACCTTGGAAGATCAACCACATCCTCATACCCTGGATACCTCAGTGGGGTCTTCCCTGTCAGCATTTCAAGCAGCACCACGCCAAAGCTGTATACATCAGACTTCTGAGTGATCTTCTTTGAGTCTGTGACTTCTGGAGCTCTGTAGCCATTGGCTCTAGACATGGTTGCTGGGGTGTTCATTAGAGGTGGCAATCCAACATCACTGATGCATCCTTCTAGTTCTTGGGTTATCAGCACATTGTTTGACTTGATGTTGCCATGTGTGAATTTTGGACCTCCCTCGGAGTGGATGAAAGCAATTCCCTTGGCAGCTCCATGCAAAATCTTCACTCTGGAATCCCAGTCAAGTGGGGTTCTTCCTGCACCTCTGTTTCCTGTTGTTTGGAACACCATAGGCAGGGAAACCAAAGACATAACAGTGTTACAATTCAAGTTCATAAGTTGTAGATGCTACCACTGTTTTAGTTCAATCATTAACTCAAGAATGGAATTCAAGACATAATTTTGCAAATGTTAAGGATGTTGAGTATATAGTGTTTGCACCGACAATGCAAAAGCTTTTGTATAAACTACCTAAATTTGTCAACTTTCGATCAGAAGTTTTGGTTACACTGCCATTGTCAGTTTCAGTTCCTATTTGAATTTAATGAACTATGATTAATACTATGTAAAGTCGATTGATCATAGTTTAGTTAAAACTGAGAGGTTCATGTTCATGTAGAATCAAAAGACATGTTAGTTCTGAAGAAAATGAGAAGAGTTTTGTCATCAGGTAGAACTTACCGTGCAACAAGAAAAACAAGCTGCCACCTGGCATGTAGTTGTAAACCAGAAGTTTTTCATCTTTGGAATAGTAATAAGCCCTTAGGGGCATCACATTTGGGTGGCTTCCAAATTTCCCTACAATCTCCAAATGCTGCTCAAACTCCTTCTTTCCTACCACAACTTCTTTCAACCTTTTCACTACCACTGTTGTTCCCTCCTCCAAAACAGCCTTATATGCTGTTCCATAGCTTCCTTTTCCAAGAACTTCAGCTGAAGCCTTCAGCAAATCCTCAAGGTCAAAGGTTGAAGAGGAACCTTCAAAGAAAAATAGTTTGTTTTTTTCAGCCCCTTGCACCCCACTTCCGAAACTCTTGGAAACCTCTGTCTTTCCAGTACACGAAGCCTTTCCTTTCAGTATGCCACTGCTTTTACTGTTCTTCTTCCTCTTCAAACAGAAGACACAGATCACTACAACTAGCAGAGAGAGGAAGGCAAAGACCCCAATGACTAGAGCAAGTATAGGAGCCAGGCCAAAGCTTTTCTTATGGTTGGTACCCTTTTGGTTTTGGATGGTAGGTGGGGTGAGTGGCGGGTAATCATCAGTGGAAGCAGATGGAGAAGGGGAGATTGTAGAGCAATCATTTAGTGGTGGCCCACATAAGAGAGAGTTCCCGACAAAAGAAGAATAAGGGAATGTCTTTATGGAATTTGGAATTGAGCCATTGAAGTTATTATAACTCAAGTTCAAATGTTTGAGACTTGGAAGGTTGAAGTCAGGAATAGCCCCAGATATGGAATTGTTTTGGAGATACAACCAAGTGAGTCTTCTCAGGTTCTGAATTGCAGGTGGGATGCTGCCAGAAAAGGAGTTACAGGAGATATCCAATGCAAAGAGTTTAGGGGACACAGGAGAAGGAATAACACCAGAGAAGTTATTGTGCTGAAGGTATACAAATTGGAGTGAAGGAATAGAGAGGATGTTAGAAGGAAGATTTCCTCTGAGACCATTGGAATGAAGACTGAGGACCCTAAGAGCATCTAGTTTTCCTATGCTGCTCTCTTGAATGGTCCCAGTTAATCCCATTCCTGGAAGGTGAAGGCCTATGACACGTGTGCCATTTGAGTTGCATGTCACACCAACCCATGAGATGCAAATTGAAGCGGAGTCATTCTTCCAGTTGAGTCTTGGGGCATGTAGGACACTTGAAGAAAACTCCAACAGAGCTTGTTTGTCAGACTTCAAGTCAGCTACAATCATGCCACAGAAAGACAGTGTGGAGCCTAATAGAATAATTGCAACAATAGAAAACTGCAACTTCATGATTATTGTTTAATGCAAAATCAAGGCAGGTGGTGGTTCCGGCTTCTGATCTTAACTGTTCTTCATTCTCTCCTAGTCTTGCTTTGGAAGATGCAGCAGGTTGTTGGCTGATCCTGTAGCTGAGAAAGTACAATATTGTCAAAGTTCAAATTAACAAGTTTTTGTTCAGACAAATGATCATTTGGGTAAGCATGATTACATGAAGCTTTCCTAAAATCAGTGATATTTTAATTTTCAACATTAGCAGCACGCAACAGGAAGTGTTTAGTTTAAAGGATGAAAGGAGTAGGATGAACACATTGTGAATTTAGACATTACAAAGGGTTGAATTAAAAAAGTTTGAACTAAGTTCTATTGCAGAAAATTTGAATTTTACGACAAGTCTCCTGTTTATGCAGAAAACCGAAAACAGCACTTGTTGCAGCTTTTGCAGAGAAGAAAAAAATAAAGCAAAATAACACAGTGTCATTCATGCTTGCTTACCATTTACAAAGGAAGGGAACATCCTTCTTTCAAATGCATCGGTTGAGGCATTTTCTTTCATTCAATACCTGAAGTGTTATGCTGACTCCTCCATTTAAAAAGAAAAAGTAAAAGGCCAAAGGTTAGCCTGAGAACTTTAAATAATGGGGGACTAAAGTGCATTTTTCACCGAGAATAAAGAAATTGGCTCACAAATCGGTGGTTATAAGTTTCAGAAACATCCAAGAAGGGAGAAGTGAAAAGAAAAACAAAGTTCATTCTTGTGATAGTTAAGAATCCAAGAAAAAATAGAACTCAAAAAGAAAAAGTAAAAGTTTGATTCTCCGGTGTACTTTATAAAGAAAAAGCATTCTTTACCTAAAGCAGACCGCATTCTCATAATTTATAAAAGATCAACATAAATCATTGGTGTTGATTTCTCATTTCGGCCACCTTATCTGGTCAGTGAATACTGCAGAAAGGTCATTTTGAAGCACACAAAAATATTTGATTAACCAGATTTTGACACGCACAGAAACAAAGGATAATTAAAGAGATGCAGATGGGTCAGGTCTTGTATTAAACAACTCAAAGCTAACATAGAATCAACATCTCAACAAAAACAATTCACTGATTTTTCCTCCACTTAAAGCAAACAAAACAAAACCTTTGTCCATCATCCCAATTACATAAAACATTAAAAATAACAAAGTTTCGAGAAGAAATTGAAGCCATACAGTTCACACTAGAAAAAATCTCCGGTTTGTAAGACATATAAGGAGAAAGACACTCAAAACTGAATCATGAAGATGGATAGAAACTTTATAGGGATCAGGACCCGAGAACAGATATGTTATGAGTATCAGTAATGACATTAATCATGGATAATGCAATATTCATTAAGTGTTCCCAGTTAATGACTACAAGTATTCGAGATGGAATTAGAAAGAAAGTGAGAGATGCTACCTTGGCATGAAATTCAGTTCTGGGAGGCTGAGAACACATCACAGAGTGAAGCATCACTGCGCAAAAAATGAGTTAAGAAATATCATGGAGGTCAAGAAGAAAGCAAGTTAATTAGTAAAGAAAAGCACAGTGTGAAATGGAGCGCAATAGTACTTGACTATTTATTTTCTTACAAATATAGTATGACTTGTAACTTTAAAATTGAGAAGGAGCCTAGTTTCCCTTAAAGTTACTTCCAACTCAGCACAGTTGGAGTTGGTGGCATCAGACTTGCCATTACAGTGTTACCAATAATAAGAGTATGATTTCTTCTCTTTTCAAGAGATTCACACACAGCAAAAAAGAGGGTAGCTGAATATGTTTTGATGAAAAACCGGAAGAAGAAAAAAAAAGAACTTTCCTACTCGCTACAATGACAGCAATAATGAGGGAGTTCAGCAAGCCCTTTATCTAGCTAACTATAGTACTAGTACATTAATATGCACCTGCTGCTGTTGAAAATGGCCCAACATATAAGGAACAATGCATGAATTTTGTAGATTTAATCGTATGAAAAAGAAGTACAAAGACCACCGAGGCATAAATAAGGATTTGCCGACATGCCACTCTGAAAACTACTGAAGAACCGTATAATGGAGTACTTTAAAAACCTCACTTTCCCATCATTATTTCACTCTTCCAACATAGATATTAACTCTTGTATTTCTCTCCACAGTCAAAATTTTCAGAGTGCTCCAACTCCCTCAGATATGAGTTAGACTTCGTCAAAACTAGAGGTTCATGAAGGAGTAATAAGAGGTTGATGAAGAGGAAAGTAATGGAGATACATTCCTGTTTTGAATTGTTATTGAAGATCAAAATCCATGAGAATGGTCCCCCATGAGAATTAATTAATTAATAAAAACAACAGGGCACTCAAGTATTGCACTCTAAAACCTATTATTGTATAGGCCATGATCCGGTATTAATGAGGGAATGAGAATGAGCTAAAAACTGGGCATTGTTAACAAGTTATGAAAATCCATTACAGTCCATTTGATTAAGAATATTTTGATGATTACCTATTGTCATGTTCCAAAGTGTTTGGACTAAAGAGAAGTAAGAAAAAGACGAGCATTCATTGATGAAAGTAGGAATAGGATAAAGGTGTGAACAGAAACTAAACATTTAAAATTGGCACATATTGGCTATGTTTGTGAGAGAGACTAGACCATGATGGGGCCAACTGTGTAATGAGTTACCCATAAAAACACGAAGAAGGTAGTTGGCTGTTACAGAACCATTTCAAATCCTTTCCTTTCCTTTCCATCCTTCCACACTATTCTTAATTCTATTTTAGATATAGGTAGCCTGTCACTCATAACTCATCGTCTCAACATATCTGTTTTGACTTTTCCATAAATTATGACTTTTTATAATAACCACCAATTTTACATTACCATGATCTTTAAAAATCTTACACTTCATGCATCAACTAGTTGCTTAATGAGTAAGTTTGGATTAAAATTCCTCCAATAGAAAACTCAGAATTTCACTTGTGACTCATGTACCAATCCCAAATCCCTTTTAAAAACATATTTTTTAGTTGCTTGAAAAAACTCCATCATCCAAAATTCCCATGATCTAGGGTAAGAAAAAAGTGGGTTTAATTATAGTATAACTTTATCTAAGTCTGATATGACCTTACCCATCTGACCTAGGTTTAGATTTAAATTGGGTATATATTTTTTATGTTTGTAATTTTTTTTAAAGTAAATGGTTTTTTTTCTTTTACTTTCATTTTCAAATAAGGTTGTTAACTTGATAAAATGAATACGTTGGTAGTGACACATGCCGTTTTTGCGAGCATTTTAGTCTACTGAATTTTTTTTTATATGAACTTTTTTATTTTGTAGATTTTTTTTTAATACGACGCACGTGGATCAGAAATAAACTGAGTTGGGTGAAATTGACATTTTAATGAATAAAGCACCCGTGATGAAATATTTTTTCTATTGTATTTAAAAAAAGTGCTAACTGTACATTTAAACTTACATATAAATATAAATATTTTGTTGAATATAATAAATATTTAGGATTAATCTTTACACATAAACTCTTTTATTTATAATAGAAGAAATATGAGTTAAGCACAAAATAAAAATAATAATAGTAACAAACTAACTAAAAATAAAAGATAAATATAAAATAAAGATAATATATCTAACACTCTCTTCAAACTTATGTATACAAATTGTAGACCAAGCTTCTTATAAATATAATCAAGGTTTAATTATTTTCGAGGTCCTTATTTATCACAAACGTCTCAAATAGGTCCTTCTATTATTCGTTATCTGAACTAGGTCCCTATTCGTGTAAAATTGATTCAATTGCAATTTTACCGTCAATTTGAGTGAACGACAAGATTATAGTCACATGGCATGATGACTTTGCAAATCTGAACCATGTGACAGAGTTAGGTCGCATTACGTGATATAATATGTTTTAGTTGGTGGCAGTACGTGGAATTTAGTTTAGGGTTTGAGTGAGTTATTTCTTTTCGTTCCAAATTCAGGTTCATTCAATCAAATTAGTTTTCCATCAATAAGATTAGGGTTTCGTTGAAGGATTTTATCGTCATCTATCAAATGTAGTTTGCTAGAATCGCCAAGTTGTTGGAGGTGAATCAAGTGAAAGGTTAGTAAATGTGGCTTTGATTATGGAAGCAAATTCATGGCATGATTAAAGGAAACGTGATTTGCTCCGATTAAGTCTCGTACATGCTTACAACGCCACCCAAATCGCAAAGTCACCGCAAGCCGCCGTAGAGCACCGCTGCGATTTGTCCAACCTTCATAAAATCGCGAGAATCGCGCAAGCAACCACACCTTTAACCATAAATCGTCATCCCCGCGTCTTCACCTACAAATGCATAAAAATCCCCAACTAGAAACAACAAACCCAAATTGTCACCGCCGTGAACCCTGATCGCGTCTCATGAACCATATTTGTGTCCTTCATCATCTTCAAGCACCCAAATCGCGATTCAAGACCTGTAATCAGAAAACACCACCCAGTCTATGAGTTCATCTTCTCCGCGAGTTGAAACTTAAAGAAGCCATCCCCAATTCGCGAATTCTCCATCATGTCTTCACGCATCAATTTCTTCGAGTCGTGAACCTGAAATTTTGTACAACAAGGGAAGTCATCAAAACGTGAATACCATTGCGTTATTATGTGCTTCCATATGAAAGGGGTGAAACCCTATTTGCATTAGCAATCATGAAGAGAGAAAAGTCATAGGAGCAAGTTTTCCCCAATTCAAAAACCCTAATTTTTGGGTCAGAAAGGGGTTGTCACATGTCAAGCCTTCATTGGTGCGATCCACTACATGTGGAAGAACAACATGAATGGTCCTCTGAAATCCTCTTCAAAGAAGAAGAAATACATTCACCATCCAAGCACCTTGCATCGTAGAAGAACAACTTTGAACACCTCAGGCACCCTTTTTAATTAGGGATTTTTGCAAATTAGTAATTTAATGAAATCCCAATTTTTTTTTTCATTTCAAAATTACAAAACCTACATCACTAACACCCCCAATGTGCCACATGGTTCATATTTGCAAAGTCAGCATACCACGTGATTGCAATCTTAATGTTGTTCACTTAAATTGACAGCAAGGGTGCAATTGAATCAATTTTACACAAATAGGGACCTAATTCAGATAACGAATAATAGAATGACATATTTGAGACGTTTATGCATAAATAGGGACCTCAAAAATTATTAAACCTATAATCAATTCTCAATCCCTATAAAGACTTAGTGAAAATACCTGCTAACTCATGATCACTTGAATTGGCAAACTCAGTCTTGATATCTCCAGACACAATCTTCTCTCGAATGAAATGACAGTCAATCTCAATGTGTTTGGTCCTCTCATAAAACATAGGATTATAACTAATATGAAGAGTAGTCAGATGGTCACATATAAGTGTCATTTGAGTGACATCTCTAAATTTTAACTCTCTAGCAATTGCTTAAGCCAAACAAGCTCACAAGTGGCTGAAGGCATAGCTCTATATTCTGCTTCTGCACTAGATCTTGCCACAGCACTCTATTTCTTGCTTTTCCATAAGACCAAGTTATCACCAATGGAGACACAATATTTGGATGTAGATCTTCTATCAAAAGGAGATCCAGCCCAATCTGCATTAGAATAACAAATCACTCTTGTATGGTTACTAGAATCATATAACAACCATTTTCCAGAAGATCCTTTAATGTACTTTAATATACGAATAACTAAATTTCAATGATCTTTACATGGAGAATTAAGGAATTGGCTTACCACATTAACTGCAAAGGAAATGTCAGGACGAGTAACTGTAAGATAATTCAATTTTCCAACTAGTCTTCTATATTTCTCGGGATCTGACGTAGGCTCCCCTATTTTGGTAGAAGTTTAGTAGTAAGATTCATGGGTGTATCCACAAGTTTTGAATTCATCAATCCAGTTTCCTCCAAAATATCCAATGCATATTTCCTTTGATATATAACAATACCATCGTTGGATTGTGCCACCTCAATACCCAACAAATATCTAAGTTAGTCAAGATCTTTATTCTGAAAAGGGTTGCAAAGATGTTGTTTCATCTGAGAGATGTCATGACTATCACTACCTATAAGAATAATGTCATCAACATATACTATCAAGTCAACATATCCAACACTCGAGTGACGATAAAAGACTGAATGATCTACCTTACAGCGAGTCATACCAAATTGTTCAACAACATTACTAAATTTTCCAAACCAGGTCCTAGGATATTTTTTTAGGCCATATAAGGATTTGCGAAGACGACATACCAACCTAGAAGACTTCCCTTAAGCAACAAATCTTCGAGGTTGCTCCATATAAATCTCTTCTTGCAAATCTTCGTTAAGGAATGCATTTTTGACATCTAGTTGATAAAGAGGCCATTGCTGAATAGCTGTCATGGCAACAAACAAATGTCATCTTTGCCACTGGAGAAAAGTATCACCATAAACCAATCCAAAAATTTGTGTGTAACCTTTGACCACAAGACGAGCTTTGAAACGATCAATAGTTCCATCAAGACCAACTTTGATA